TTAAGGGTTTAGGGGCTTAGGGGTTTGGGGTTTAGGGCGGCGTTGTCTGTGCTGGTTTCTTGGCTGGCGAGGCTTCGTTCCGAGCCGAGCCACTTTGGTCTTGGTTCCGACGAACCTTCACAAGCAGTGGCTTTCGGAGATCTCCAAGTTCACTGGAGATGCGCTTAAGGTGATCTCGGTTCCAACATGTTCCCAGCTGAAGCGGCTGACTCTAAAGGAGCTTGCCGAGGCCGATATTGTGGTGTCCACATATCGGCTCTTCTACTCCATGCCTTACTTGCGGAGACTCGAAGAACTCGCACGGGAGAGCTCGTTTGGCTTTACCTTCCCGAAGAAAGGTCAGCACGCCGGGGAGGAGTGGTCGCAAGCCTACCGTGCTGCCTTCGAAGCCCTTCCTGGCTGGGCAGCCAAGCTTGGGATCGAAACGGGCCTGGCTCCCGTTCGGCAGCAGCTTTTCGCCGGTGATTCCGAGGAGAATCGCAAGAGCAAGAGCAAAGAGAGCAAAGAGAGCAAAGAGAGCAAAGCTGCAAATGATGCAGCGAGCCAGGCTGCTCAAGCCGCCCAAACGAGCCAGGCAAGCCAGAAGCGGCGTCGTGTCACCGGGAAGCAAACCGGGTCTGCAACAGGCTCTGTTTCGCAGGAGACGCGCGTATCTGACTGGCCAGAGCCGGCATTGCTTACCCAGTATGTCCCCTTAGAGGTCTTTTGGTGGAAGCGGATTGTTTGCGACGAGTTTCATGAACTTCTGAGCAGGTATCCGCCTGCACAAGTTGCAGTGGAGTTGTTCCACGCTGACAACAAATGGGGTCTCAGTGGGACGCCTCCTTGCCAGACCTTGGCTCAGATACGGAAGGCAGCAGGCTTTCTAGGAGTTCAGCTTCCGCAGACACCGGCGGACACGGACAAAGAGGAACCGCGCAAGGTCGCCCAAGAGTGGCTGGACGCTTTCGTCCGCAGAAACACAGCGGAGCTGCCGCCTTTGGAGGAGGAGGAGCGTATTGTTCCGGTTCGACAGACTGTCAAGGAGCGTGCCCTGTATCTCGCCTTGACGCAGCAGCACCAACTCACCCAGGAACTTGGGCTTACAGACACGCAATCGCATGACCTTCCACAGCAGATCAGGGCCTTGAAAGGCGTTGGACAGACTACCTGTGGACTGCTCAAGCTTTGCAGCCACTTTTGCTTCTCTGGTGCCTCCGACGTGCTGACAGCCGAAGACGAGTGCCAAAAGCAGGTGGCACTGAGAAGAGAGCGGATCCTGCGGGCTGAGAGGGAAATCAAAGCGCAGGCGGAAAGGGCCGCCTCGCTGGCACAGCTCATCGGTCACTTCGAACCTCTCTTTGGGAAGCAGCCAGATGAAGTCAACTGCCCTCACATCTGCAAGGAGTCCAAGGACCAACTTGACTTGCGCTCTAGACTCTAGCTGACTCTAGCACATGGCTGGTAGGTGGCTGCCGGACATGCAGTGGTTTCCCTGCTCACACTGTATGCAGGGTGTCCTGACCGCTCGCCTGAAGTTCATGGGCGTCAAGGCCCTGGGCAACAAGGTGCCATGGCGGCTGTTGAAGGTTCTGGTGAGTTGGCCGTAAGCAGAGTGCATGCACGGTCACACTTGGCTCTTATCCCGACGTCCGAAGCCGGTAAGCCGAACTTCTCTTGTCGGAAGGCCCGGCTGTGAGCCCAGGCCGAGCTTTCAAAGACTCTCTTCGCCACGGCCGAGCAGCGCAGTGCCGGGTTGCGGAGCTTCGCTCTGGCCAGGGCATTCGACACGAAGCTGGCGAGTGACTTGGCGGTGTCTTCGGGCTTGTAGACTAGGTGACTAGGTAGTACACGTATTACTGCGTAGTAGATTCAGTACCTGGCAAGATGCATTTCCTTGATCCGCGCCACAGACAAGGCAAGGTCTCTGCCTCTTGGTACCAGGACGCCGAAGAAGGAGGCAAGCACGTGCACATGCACTTTCTCACCCTTGAGGATTGGGCAAGATTATCCATCATTCCGATTCCGACAGTCTTTCGACGACCCGAAGCTCTGAACTGCCAAACCTCAAAAAATCACAACCCCTTACCAACAAAGCACAAGCCAAGTGATTAGGCTGTTCAGGTATTTTTTGTCCGTGCCTTCGTGTTGTTTAGGCCGTGAGGTTTTGGGGTTTGGGCTTGCGGCTGATTAGGGTTTGGGGCTGCAAGATCTCAAGACTAGAATTTATTCGTCTGTTTCGTTGGCCAACAAAGCTTCATCTTTCGTTTGCATGAGGACTACATCTGCAACTATAGCACAAATTCAAGCGCAACCACTTAGTTTAGAGGCGCTGTCGCAAAACTTTTGCGAGCTGTAAACCCCAAACCGAAATTGTTTCCATTAACCGAGGCAAGAAGTATGCCATCAAAAGCATATTCCTTCCTGCAATTAGCTTTCGGGTTCGTTCCTAGCCCTGTAAACCGGATTATGGTTCTTTCCGCCATCCGTCTTATAGCATGCGTTCTAGAGCCTTCAAGGGCAAGCAAGTGTGCAGCGGCTAGAAATGCTAAGGCTTCATAATCTTGAAGACAAGAAACTAAACGTGAAGATTCTAGACACTAGACTCGCGCTCAAAACCCTCAAAGCTTCCTTGGACCCTGGACCCCGTGCAACACCTTCCTAGCCCAATAAAAGGTAGCAGTGGTAGCTGTAGTAGTCGTCGTGGTAGTAGTCGTCGTCGTGGTCGTGGTCGTCCTCCTAGGTGCAGTGCGTGTTGGCGTAGGAATGCGACAATCAAAGGCAAATATAGCATCATCTGTCATAGCTTGTTCACCAAAATAAACACCAGTTAAGTCTATATAACTCTAAGAAAACTTGATTTTGATGGGAGTCATGGTCACAGAAATGGCGACACGATTGAGAACTCCGAGCCTTGCTGCAGTAGTCAGCAGAGCGGCAGCGAAAGCGGTAACAGCAACAGCAACAATGTCAGCCAGCACAATAACACAATACTGTTAATAAGAACAGTTATCCACATTTCGTTTACCTGCACTGGCCTCCACGCCTTCGTTGTGGTGGTTTCAGTGTAAACACTCACGGGCCGGCAGGCAATGCAGAAGTGGAGTGGAAGAAGATCTTGGACATGCTTGATGCAGATGTAGGTCCAGGATCCCAGCCGAGTTTGGACTCGGTTGGTAAGAGGGCTAAAGCTGTGATTGGAGGGCGTCTTTCCATTCCGACAGATGCTTGCCTTGAATATTAAAGCCGCTCCGAAGCTCATCTTGTCAGACAAGGTTAATGATCACACAGACTTGGCATATCTCTTCGAAGCGTTCATTTGTTGCTTGCTTCTTGTTGGTTGTGTTGTATTGGTACGTAGACATGATGCTCGGATACTTTTGTCTCGATGGCATTGCAGTCTTGCAGACGGCAGCGCGGTGCGTTGAATACATCGCAGACACCCGTGCGCACTAAGTGCAGTTTCTTGTTCCTCGAAAGGCCACCCGGCGAAGAAACAGCAGAAACCCGGGCAGCCTGCACGTGTCGAATTTGCTCTCCAGTCCGTGCGCGGGTCCACCTTTCACAGTGACCTGAGGTTTGGATGCGGGTGCCGGAAGAGTACAGGAAGCTGCGTCCTTGGACATGTGCACGCAGTTCTCTCAAAACCTGTCGGCTATGTAGCCGGTTCTGCTGGAGGCCATGAAACAGGCAGTGGCCGTCTTTCCGTGTCAAAGGCGTGATCCGCCTGCGAGGCCCGGAGCACTTGCCTTTGGGCTATGTATCAAGGGTTCAAGTTTCTGACCTCACGGCAGATGTGCAAAACTGCGGAAGCACTTGGGAATGCCCCAATGGTCCGGCAGCGAGGAGGACTGGCCTTGGGCGGAAGCGTGTACGAATCGAACAGCTGTCAAGTCGAGTTGCAAGCCCGAGCCAGCTGTCATGTGTTTCGCGCGGCGTTGCAGTGCTTTCGTGTTCTGAGTGAGCTGTGCATCCTAGACTTTCGCAGCAGTTCTTGAATATTCCCGAAGCCAGTGGTCGAGATGGCATGTGGGTTGTGGGCTTTCCCTGCAATCTCAGGAGCATGCCGACGAGCTGGCAGCGACCAACTGGAAATGGCGCAGTGTTCGAGTAGCTTGCTTCAAGTCAGATTTTGCGTTGTAGGAGAGTCTTCCGAATTGTTGCCACATCTAGCGGTTTAGTGGCGGCGGGGAACTGAGACCACAAGAAACACGCTGAGTTGTGTGAAGTCAGCGTGCGGAAGTCGTGGCAAGTAACGTCCTTGAGCAATCAGTCGTTGCTTGCTGTGGCCTGACATATGCTGTAGGAGAATGCCCAGAACTTGCAAAAGTTTCTGAAGGCATGGAAGGCGGGCTGCTTTGCGTAGCTGTGACAGCATATCGTCGCAGATTTAGGCATCGGTTTGCACGGCAACCAGGAAGACCTTCTTTGCTCAGTGCAGCGCTTGCAGGCGTCCCAGGTGCCGGTTCACTTAGTTGCTTTTTGTGTGCTTTGATGAGCCTGGTAGCTGGAAGGCAGGGCTGCAAGACAAGCTTAGAAGCCTGTCCTCTTTCCAGGACATCCGCTGTGACATGCGGAAGTCATGAGGCCAGATCCAAGTTGAGTTCTCTTCCCTGAGAGGACACCTTGCATGCATCGCAAGCGGAAGCTTTCGAGGAGCTACAGGACGAAGGCAGCAAGCTTTGTCGTGTTGGTGCGGATCCCGTTCGTGCCTGTTGTATCCATGCCACGGGCAGGATCAAAATTCGCAAAGTACGGTTCGAAGATTGAGACGCTGCTTGAACGCAAGTCGTGAGGTGACCGATCGACAGAAAGAGTGGAGGATTTTCGAGCCATGCCCCATGTCTTATGTGCTGCCAACACGTCTTTCAACGCCCATTGAGTTGCGGCTGTGCGTTGGCCCCTGAGGCTTGTGAAGCACACGCAGAAGATCCAGCTTGAACCTGAGCTTGCACGGCGGTCTGAGATGCGCCAAAAATCATCAGCCTTTGACCACGACCGGGAATGAAAGCATCGACACGTAACTGTACCTAAGCACTTTCGTTCGCTACTTGTATCCTCGAAGGTCAAGAAGTTCAAGAAGAGTTTTGGTTGTTTTTTGGCTCTTCTCCGGTGCGCAGTCAAGTATAGACGAATGGCGAGCTGCGGAAGCTCCTCTGCGAGAGCTTAGGATTTTGGAGGCATCTGCTGCTCACCTAGGCAGGCAGATCCTGCGGCCAAGATGATCTGCTTCGTCCAATGGGAAGACTTAAAGCGAAAGGCAGGCACTTCACATGCCAGCACTTGGAGTCGGTTTGCATGAGCATCCATGTACTGCTGGCTAGGCAAGGTTGAGCTTGAGGTGCTGAGGTAGGTGAAGGGAACCTGTGAGGCATTGAAACTAAAGGTTGCCGGCTTTGACCGGGCGCGTGCTTAAACCGGTTTGGGTTTAGTTTGGCCAAGGTGCTTAAACTTAATCGCATGCACGTCGACTGCATACAGGGTGTAGGATCGTGAATTCCCTACTCAATGCAACGTGCCAGATCAGCTCGGCCTTGGAAGAGTTTGGAGTTTGGAACCTAGGACCTAGCTTGAGTCCTTTGCGTAGTCGCGGCAGCACGGGCTTCCACCCAGGTGCCTCACCACGTCTTGCAGGGAAGCGTGTGGGGTCGGCAGGCTGCGCTCAGGCGCAGTGCTCAAGGGCAGAGCCCGCTTGCCCCCTTGTGCCTGCAGTGTGACATGCCTGCGGTCTCGTGCAGCTAGGCGCTTCCAGTACGAAGACTCCGGACCGCGCATGCTGCTTCTCTCGCTCGAGGAGTCAGCCAGCGGGACTAACCTCACAGCTTCCTGGCACCAATATGACTCAAGCATCCATGTGTGTAGAATGTGGAGACACCAAGGCTGCCAACCACGTGCTCATCGTTCATCCGATGGAGGCAACTGGTGGTGCAGCAAAGCCATCAAACACGACAGCAACAGAGTACATAGCTTTTCACCACCCAGGCACAGTCTCAAGAGGAGGCTGTGGCCTTCGAGATGCAGGCACCTTCATGTTTTGTGTCACTCGTCTATCCGGGCAAGAACTCTGGTCGGTTTCTGCCTGCTGAGGCTGTTGGACGCGTGCGTCGCCCTGGCCAGCAGAAGAAGCTGCCCGCCAAAGACTATTTTTTGAGCATCCAATTAGGCTCGGCTAAATTTTTCGAGGCGGCCACTGTATTGGTTTGGTCATGGCCCATGGAATGATTGAGGATTCACATTTGGCGTTTCGTGACACTGGACACGATTGAGCAACAGATTACGGAGGTCATGCTGCCGGGGCGAGCTTTGATTCTGATGCCCATGCTAGTGGAAGCAGAGGAAGCTTTTCGCTTCCCCTCGCAGGAGCATCAGAAGGAGCTGTGGGAACGTCAAGCCGTGAAGATCCACATCCATGAGGCGGCCGAGCAGGACCTTGCACTGCAACAGATTGGCTTGAGAAATCGACCTGAAACCTGAACCCCCGTCTGCGAGCTTGACATAAGTTTCGGCATGGTGTGCAGGACTCGGAGAGCGAGCTTGACTGCGATGCTGAGGCTGGGGAACTCTCTTGGTGGTTGGGAGCGTATTCGACACCGTCTGGAAGCTGCTGCGATTTCGCAGCATGTCTACCCCCACATTTTGACTGCTCTCTTTGTTCAGGCTGATGTCGGCGAAGCAGGAAGGGAGCACATAGAAGGGGTAGGCACACATTGCAAAGCCTCGACTGATCATGGCAGACTTGCAGGAAATGCTGCGCATGTCTTTGAGCAAGCTACTCAGTGTCCGGGACTCGGACGCGGGGGGGGGCATGGCAAGGACTATGCCTTTTGCTCGCCTGCTCCAGCTAGCTGTCAGCCATGCAAACCTGTCAGGCTACATGTCGACGGATCCACCCATGGCAAAAGGCATCGAGGAGACCTTGCTGATGTTCAGCATGCGGTGCATTTAAGAGATTGTACAGGCCAAGATCGAAACTTCGGATTAACGCAGAGCAGCGGCGTGAGAGCATACCTTTGCTTTCGCAGCCTGCGGCAAGGAGGACGAAGAAGTCGCGCTTGGCTCAGTTGCTGAAATGGTTTCCCAATAGTTTGGTACCCGGGGTTCCCAGGGCAAAGACGGGTGCATTGGTGTGTGTAGCCGGGGCCGTTGCCGCACAGTGCATTTTTCGGACCAAACTGTGGTGCAGTCTTCCATCGGTCTGTTTTTTGGTCTTCTCAGGATGTTTTCACTTATGTTTAGTGCTTCTCTGGCCGACGAAGGTCATTGACAACAAGACCGGCGAGCTACTTGTTGGCACGCGTTGGCATTTTGTCAGCGTGGCTGTCGCATGCAGGCAAGATGCAGGTCACGTCAGGTGATAGGCAGCTATTCCGCATGCAGCGTTTAAAGTGTCAGATGGAATTGATGCATCCATCAAGGACTCAGACAGACGTCCTGATGGGCAACTTGTCGGAAAATTACCAGAGCCTGGTAGTTTAGAGCTTCTTCCTTCACTTTTGTCGGATGAGGCTGCAGCCTGGAGGATTGCGAAGCTACCCAGCGCTATGTACCGACATGAAGGAGACGCGCAGCAAGCCTCGGGCTGTTGTCCATCGGCTGATCCCGGGCCAAGTGTTCGCTTTCTCGTCCGGGTTGGTACTGTGACATGCTGAGATGCCTTCCGTGTCTCACTCAGTGATGTCTGGGGCATTGTGCAGGGGAGAGCCACGACCCATCAAAAGGGAAATTCGCGTGCCAGGTAGCAGGACGCACAAGTCCGGTTCTTGAACAAGGAATGTGTCGCGAACCGCTTCATGTTGCCCTCGCCGTCGCTTTGCTGCTCGATTCCTCAGCTCATGGGATCCTGGCTGTGCCAAAGCGCAGAGCAAGCAGGGGAATCAGAGCAAGCTGATGGAGGTGCGGCGTCGCCTGCGCGTCGCCTAAGCATTCTCCATTCTCGCGAGGCCATCACCGGACCGGGACCTGGCAAGGCCATCTCGGCCTCCTCCCAGGCAGCGCGGCATAGCGGTGATGGGCTCCGGGCTCTCTTCTTGACTCCGGCACCAGGCTGGCAGTGACTTGAACACCAGCGCGGGAGGCACCTCGCGGCAGCCCTTTGGCTGCAAGCGAAGTCCGCCCGCAATCACAGCAAAGCACTAATGCGAAGCCCTCACATCAAGGAGTGCCAACGTCGAGAGGCGGATTGCCTGGCTCGAGGAGGCGGGAGCTGTGATCAACTTGATTTACAGCAAAATGACTGTTGCAGCTTGCTGCAGGATGTCGCAGTTCTACATCGCCGAGTCAAAGCAGAGTGCAGCGACTTGGGAGGCCCGGCTCTCTGTCAAGTTTCCTGCGTTGTAGCAGAGCCCACAGTTCGTTTGTGTATCACGGGCAAGGAACCTTCTGGGAGCCCACCCTTCACCCCCACCCTTCACCTTGTGCTTCCAGCATGTATCACCGGTACCAACAAGTCAAGTAATTGTAGAGCAATCTGCTCACACTGATCCGACGGCAAGTTGTTCCCTGCGGAACTTATCATATTGAGGGGTTGCAGGCTTTGAGGCATGAGGTAGCCTGGCGACTAAGGTTAAAGGCTTTCATCCCTTGCAGCTTCTCTCGCACTGCAACTTCTAAGTGTGTGTCACATGTCTGTTCAGCAGCGGAGCTGCTGTGCATGACATTGCACCTTTGACAGGCGGTGTGGCTGGTGACTCTGGTCTCCGTGCCCTTGTGGCACGATTGGATGGTGGCTTGGCCGGATCGTAGGCAAACCAACTGCTGCGAGTTTGTTTGCAGCAGCGCTTTGTCTGTCCGGGACAGTCGTTCCACGATGCAAACCAATGCCACCCTTGTGATATGATATTATGACCAGTGATATACATAAGCTGAGTAACTTCCATGGTTATGAATTTTTTATCTAGGTGTTCAAGGATGTGGCCAAGAAGCTGATGCCGAGAAAGGACACGTAGAGAATCTGCTGTCGACTCCTGTTGGAACTGTAGCTGTCGCCTTCTGTCTTTCATGTCAGCGGTACGTTGATGCTCGGGGTTACTGGGCTCAACCCTCGTTTCTGGACAGTTTGTCGATTACACCGCAGTCCAGCTTCCGTGAAGTTTCCTGAAACATCCAAGCTGCCTTTTCTGGTGTTTTTTGAGGAGAAGCTTTCCCGTCGGGGGTTCCCGCCCTTCCCGTGCCAACGCAGAGCGAACCGAGGCGAGCTGGCCCAGGAGAGGCGGATGCAGGAGCTTCTCGAGGCCAGGATGGTGACGGTGGAGGAGAGCTTGCAGGCCGAGCGCAAGGACCGCGAGGCGAGGCGAGAGGGAGAGGGAGAGAGGAGGGAGGGGAAGAGAGCCTTTCTTGCTTCGGGGAAGGAAGGAAGAAGAGAGGGGGAAGCTCGAGAAAGCATCGATTCAGTCCAGCACTCATTCAGCACTTGGAAAATAAACTGTAGCTGGGGTCTCGGGGAAAAGAAGGTGGGTTCTCATGACGTGCCTGTACAGCTTTCAGAGCCTGTCCGTGGAACACAGGTTCAGGTTGAGCAAGGCTTTGCCGACCCCTCAATCTCAGAAGAAGATGAAGAGGAAGTCTGTTCAGTCGTCTGTGCCTCGGAAACCTAAGATTGCCGCATTCCTGAGTGCACTAAGCCTCACGGAAGGAAGAAAGAGACACAGATAAAGAGAGAGCACCACACGGTAGAGTCTGGGTTTTTAGGGTTTGCCTTTGAGGTTTAAGGGTTTTGTGGCTTCGGGGCTTTGGGGCTTAAGGCTTTGAGAGTCTGCCGGTTGTAGTTTTGTGTAGGATGAGTGTAGAGTTTTTAAGACGCATGTAAGACCTTAAGGTTTCTAGGACGTGCAAGGGGTTCTACCACTTTTGCTACTCCCCGTTGTGCAGCGTAAATCCGTCGCCCAGTGCACGAAGTTTTGGTGCGGAAATCCGGTGCACACATGCATGAATCGGGTGCGTAAGTGTGGCGCCGTACGTTTGCGAATCTTCCGGTGTGCGAATCCAATTGTTAGTCTGCAGCAAACCCGTGCGTGGTACGTTACAGTCGTGGGGTTCAACGGCTCGGCTGGGGAAGAACAGTGCACCTCCACGTGCCGTAGTCGCGGCCTGGCATTTTCGTTGATTCTTCAAGCACCCCTCACGAGTGCCTCATCAACGCATGCCTTTTGCGCAAAAAAGTGCAATGTCACGTCGCCAAACTCTGCAGAGCGACCCAGATGCGAGAGAGACTATGACCCGTACAACTCAGAGCTCCGCGAACGAGCGGATTTTTTGCAGGCTTCCACGGTGCAGGTCTTAACCCGCGTTCCTGAAGCCCCGAAAAGAAAACCAAAGCGAGCAACATTGATTCTCGAGGGCTTTCTCGACTGTTCAAGAATGCAGATTTGAGCCCTAAAAAATCCAAAAAATCAGAGGCAGCGGACATCCGAAGGACGAGCACAACCATGGTGTCTCAGGGATGGGAGGGATTGTGAGGGAAGGAGCAGGACGGAGCAGGTGGGGGATCAGCAACCCCGCCGCAAAATGCCTTATGCCATGCGGAATCCTCAGCTGCAAGTCGCTGTGATCCCGTGTACAGGAGAGAGACTGCGATCTCGCGGACTCTTGGGGTGATGAGATTACAGTGTGCCGTGACATGTGCAGACCCAGAGATGCTATCTGCACTGGATGCGATCTTTGAATCGCAAAAGAGTGGGAATGAAGGGATGGGCTGGGATGGGGTCGGTTTCAGAGGTCTTAAGTTTTGATGCTGCTCCCCTTTGGAAAGAAGCTGCAGCCACTCCAGTCACACTTCTTTATGGGTTCGTCGCTCTCACCCAACCCTTTTTTGCAGGCCAGCATCAACACACTGGCAAGCGAGCTGGACAAGACAATGAAAGGCTGCGAGCGGTTTCCGGTTGTTCAGCTGTTTGATGGTTCACTCGATGTTAAGCTCCTGTGATTTTGCGGCTGCTTGCAGGCCTGATTGGCTGGGCACCGAGTTATCGTCAGCTTGCAGCGACACCAAGCTTTTGATTTTGTTGGCGAAAGTCTGTCCCAATGTCGAGGCCGCATTGACGAGGGTTTGTCACAAGGGGCCGCGGCGATGAGGGAACGCACTGATCAAACAAAGGCCGGTCTTGCTCAAGCTGGGAATCGAGGAGAGAATCGCGGTGTTGGCCGCATTGTTCTTGCAGGTACGCCTGCATTCGTTGATCAAGCGTGTTGACGAAGGCCCCAGATGACACCTTTTGGATTCTGATTGCTTCGGTCTGCATTCTTCCATGTCCAAGGAGGAAGTACGTATATCATGGTCAGAGCACAGCAGAACAAGACCATGCTCTGACCAGTGTCCTCGCATGACACAAAACAGGACTCACCGCTGGTGCTGCAGCTCTCCAGGCGAGCCTTTGCAGAGGGCACTCGGATTTAGGGTTTAGGGTTTAGGGTATCTGTCCGCCTACATAGTTGTAAGCCTTGCCGGCGCCCTGGCGTTGTCTTCTGGCGTAGTTGAGCAGAAGGGTGTGGATGAGACCGCCTTTAGCACCAAATATGATACACGGGTTTGGAGAGTAGATACCGAAATATCTGTGTCTACATGTATGCTTTACACTCACACATACATATACACACCAGTGCATATGGATATATACATTTGCGTGATACATGCGCATACACATCCACACATACGTGTACATCTACATGTACATATCCATGTACACATTCATGTACATACTTATCTGTTTATGCACACTGGTATACCTATCGCTGGCACGGGTATGCATAGACAGTCAAACTCTTTTTGTATATCTGTACATCTAGGTGTTTTGTCATGTCATGTGTTGTAAAGTACAAATCTGCCTCTTAAACTTGACATGCACATGTACCTTCACATTTGCAGAAATGCATAGACATTCTGATTTGCAGACATTTGTGACGGCTTCTCACGCTAAGCAAAAAGAAGTATACAGGGCAGGATAAGAGTGGGTTTGTCATATCTATTGTTCTACAGACAGTCGCATGTAAATCTGTATGTGTACACTCACCTATGCACCTGCGTACATAAGTACCTGAACAAAAAAGAATGTATGGACGGGTGCATCAGGCAGGACAAGCTGAGGTCTTGTTGAACACGTGTTTAGAAGATGTAGGCACGCGCACGATACGTTTGCCTGTGCTAGAGAAGGCACAACTACGGGGTGCAGAATTGGTACCGGTAAGGGGAACCTGAATGTGCCAATCACACGCCTGTATGCCTGTATGGACGGATGGAAGGATTGATTTGTGTATGTATATATTCATGTATGGACGCGAGTATGCAGGTTTGCATGATTTTACATGTGCGCACGTGTGCACGTATGTATGTACGCGTGTATGTATGCGGGCACGCATGCATGTGCTTGTGCGTATGTGCATGTGTAGACATTTATACATATACAGGTCCCAAGATCTATGCTACCACTCTTTTGCTCTGCATCTTTCATTTGGCAAGAATGAAAAAGCTTCTTTGGTTATCCTTCGTCCAAATGTCTCTAACAGTTGAGGAGCAGGGAAGCACTTCAGGGATCTGCGACAGCAGAAGTGGGCGAAAGGCGTTCTGCACCGAAACATTTGGCCATTTGGCCTGTGGAAGCAAAAAACCAAGTGCTGCCCCCAGCTCCTCATCCCGGTGTTGGCAATGGCTGTGGCAGTGACAATGTGGTAGGGGTGGTGATGCTAGTGGAAGGGTCGGGAGACATTTGATAATTCATGCTGTTTGGCAGGATAGCCTCAACACTAACACCAAAGACGTCTTGTCGACTTGCCCTCAGCTTGCGACAGTCTTGAGCAGCCCTTCCATCCGTTTCGGCTTACCTTTCAACTTGTGTGCCTAGGGAACATAGCCGCACCAGCATCCCGTCGCGATCTGTCGGGCGCTCGGTGCCTTTTGGTTCCTTCCCAGCACGGTGTGGGTTCCTCAGGCAAATTTATACAACGCCGCTTAAGACTGTAGTTCGTCGTGCAGATGATGAGCTTCTCGGCTTCTCTCGAGTACCGTAAGATTTCAGGTCAGTGAACAACAGCAGTACTAAGCTTGAACGGTACATACTGTTGCATCATCTGCGAATGCTGCAAGATGTTTATATATCAGCGAGCATGTTTCATCTGGTAAGATCATGGTTCATCTGGTGAGAGCAGTGCGCTGTTCTTGAGGGCGGCTGCCGCGGCAGTGTCTCGCCAACCACGAAGCAGCAGCTCCAACAGAACCAGCCGCACCCGCAAAAGCAGAATCCACAGCAGCAGCTTGAGCAGCAGCAGCTGCAGATGCAACAGCACCAGCAGCAGCAGGCTCGACCCGTCGTGTGTCTTTTTGGAGTGTTCAGATCGGGGATTTTGTTGCTTAGTAGGCCGCCTTCCCTAGCACGTCGACAGGGAATGACAGGGATCGGACTGCGATCCCCTGTTTATGATTGGACATATTCTGGACAGTGTTTTCAATCACCTAGCCTGAACATGCCGATGCATATTGGATCCTGTTTGTTTCGATACCATGCAAGCCTGAGATCCTCAGAGAAAGAGAAAAGCCTTGGCCTAGATGAATGGGGAGAGAGCATAAGACCGCACACCATGATTCTGCAGGGTTGCACGGCAAGGGTAACCAGAGCAGCACCTACAGTAGAAGCACAGATGATGATCAGCATCTGAGCGCCAGCGAGTTTCGTGCCACTTCGCCGTCGATTGCATGAGTCTCGGCGTGGCCTCACTACCTGCAAGCTCCTGATTTGGGTCATCTCCCGGATTTTGACGATGTCCCAACATGCACCCGAAGGGCTAAAGGCAAACTGAAATCACCATACCAGACCGCCTCGTGCGACATGCTGGTCACGGGATTCCCACGGTTGTTCTTGGTTGATGAAGGCGATATGATGTGCTTTTGAGAGTTCAGGTTGGATTGTGCAAAGTCACGTGCAGGGGATGCGACCTGACAGAGGGCACTTTGCTGGGAGCTTTTGTTGGGAAAGCCGGCTGCTGCCATGGTACAGATGCCTTCTGATCATCAGACGCAAAATGCAACGGAAGGAAAAGATCCCAGACCTTGCTGGACAAAAGGGTCTGTGCCGCGACAACCGTCGGGCCTGCAACGCGTCGTCCTTTCGCCACTCCTCGCAGGGTTCCTTCTGTTGTGCGTCTGCGAGTTGGAACCAGAAGCAGCGCCTTCCAGCACTCGGGCTTGGTAGGGGAAGCCTGTGAGAGGCAGCTCCACGGACGTTGCAAATTCGACCTGTCAGAAGCCTGGATTCGCGTTCGAAAGCACGTTTCATGCGAGTGACACCGGTCGGACTTAGATAGGGTCCAGAATGTGTCCTGCTGTTATTTGTCCCATCTTGTCCCGTCTGTCTTTGCCGTTCTGTGACCGAGGGTATGGACCAGAGGCTAGGAAACACTATGAGCCAGAAGCCTAGCACTGACTGTAGCTGCAGCTGTGAAGTGTACTTCAGTTTAATGTCGACTCGACAGTTGCAAATCGTGTCAGATCCTGACAGATTGCTCCGGGATTCGAGAGAAACCAGGTCGACGTTCGCCGCAGACGAGCCAGGCCAAGTCTCAAGCAGTTTCCCGGAGCCGTTCATTTGATCTGGGCGTTGGCTCACGGCTCACCACGGCTCCGTCCAGACTCAAGAAGAGTGCCCGAACGATGTGCAGGCGCCTTCTGTGCATCGCTCTCCGGCGCAGACACCGTCTTCTGCATTTCCCGGCTCAATGCAGGCTGCATGTACCTTTGGTTTGAGGACAAGTTGAGCTTGTTGCACATGTGACACGATGATCTGCAGGTGCCCGGAAGCGGTCTGGGCGCAGGCTATTCTCAGGCGTCGGCTTCCACGTTTCATCTCAATGTCTAGTCTTGTTTCATCTCCGTTGCAGGTGCAAGGAGGCCCTGGGATGACCTTGGGAGGCTATCCCAGGGCTCAGGCAGGGCCTCCGACGTCCACCCTCATGCTCGCGAGATCCAGACTTGAACAACTCTCAGGTGCAAACCCTTCCAGCAGGCCTGGTTGGATCAGGGCATCGGTTATTGAAAGATGGTGATGTCGCGGGGTGTGCTATTCACGGATGTTTCTTGCGCAGTTTTGGCCTTGCAATGCCTCTCTGCAGGCGCACGAAGCCCACAGCAAGTTATGAGAGTTTTGCGCAACTGAACGACTCGATGAAAAACGGAGGTCCACGTTAGATCCGGGCAGAATCCTGGGTTCGGATCTCTCTCCTTGCATGACGTTTCTCTGACTGCAACATTGAACAATGTTGCACGATGTTCGACATTTTGCCAATGAAAACACTGCTTAGACACTGCCTGAAAAAGCTGTTTCTTGCTCGGAGTAGTCCGGGGACAAGGAGGTTTGTTCCGTGGTTGCAAGGAGCTGTGGGGCAGAGACGTTCAGCTTTCGGAACTGTTATCGAATGTGCTCGGCCTTAGGTTATGTCAACGTTTCATGTTGGAAGTGCACGCCGAAGCGTAAGTAGCTCGTGAGTGTGCGGCCTACTCCTTCGAGCTGCCGGCAAGGGTGTCTATCAGCTTGATGGGTTGATGCAATGATGGTACACCTGGTTCTCCACGCCGCCTTTGCAAATTCAGGCCCTTTTCAATTGCATTGCTCATGGAACCAACAAGTGTTTGCTGGAGTACAGCACCGCAGCATTGTACTTCAACGAAGTTGCAGACAGGCGCAGGTGTTTATGAGTCCGCATGTGTTTATGCTCCCTGAGCAGCAGCTGGGATCACAGTCGTCTTGTTCGTATACGAGGAGGCACTCATGCTCCGCACTTCAAGATGGCGCGTGGGTGTTGTCTCACAAGATGACGAGGACAATGAGGCGCGTCTTTCTGGTACTTCCCCGTTTCCCCCCGATTACGCTTTGCTTCGGAGTCTTTGCTGTTAGATTCTGTTTAGTCCTTTACAGGTTGCATGCATGCATGTGTGTGTGTGTGCGCGAAAATGGCAGTCTTTGCACATTGTGATTGTAGGCACTTCCTCGCACTTGTGCAGGAAATGCCTCCTAAGATGAGTCTTGGAAAGCCTTCGGCTACAAGGACCGGATCTCTCCGCAGGAGCGCGATTTGCACAACGACTTCGGTTTGTTGTTGCGAGGACAGGCTGTCCTCTCTGTGAAAAAGTTGCTCATCAGCAAGCGACAGCTCAGAGAATGTAGGAGCTGCGCGTCTGAGAGTGGGGAGCTATAGATGCAAGGAATGACCGTGGCCCCCAGCGGAGAGCCACTTCCTTCCCGCAAACTTCCCACACTTTATCGGACGCTGGGCTGCGCAAAACTTGAATCTGAGTTCATCGGTATAATTTACTTGTGATTTCTGTGATTCCCATGTGCCATGCTTTGCAAATTCCAGGCAGGCTTTTCACATAGCCAAGGACAGTTCCAGCAACGCCACCCACGCTCACCAGCACTGCCACCACGTTTCTTGGTTCTCGGCGCGCAGGCCTGCTGACACGAAGCTCTCCGGCACCGCCTTTGTTTAAGCTGGCAGGGGTGGAATCAGCCAGCTCTGCATCTGATTGTTGGGGCCTATCTGCTACGAGTTGGGCATCCTTGCCTGCGAGAAACGAGGCAGAGCTTTCTCGTCTAGCAACTTGGCACGCAGGGGGGGAGAAGGTTACAGATGTGCCTTTGTGTCCGAAGCCCGCCCACAGGCGAATCGGCACAGTCGTATCTGGGAAGCCGCTGCATTGCTCACAAGCTAAGGAAAAGGGTGTGATTCCATTTCGGCGGTCGCAGGGCATTTGGGAGCAAGCGATGCCTCTTCTACCACCGTCGCCAGTGCGGAAGAAGATTTCCCAACGACCAAAGTATGATGTGCCACTTCTGGACTGCCGGGGTGCCCTCAAAACAAGTCAAGTTTGCACATGTTTTGAAGAAGTGTGGAGCTGCACAAGCTTTCAAATCTATCTGCATAGCGGGGTAGAAACTGCACAGCAGAGATTCATGAATCCTACAGTCATTCATGCCTCCGTGCAGGATCTCCGTGACGTGTCGTGGTGTTCCATCGGAGATGATACGCCAATGGAGCCGCAAAGCCCACAGATCCTTGGCCGACAGAGAAGCAGTGGTTTGTCGTTGCATATGCAAGCACTGCAGCCAAGGAGTTCTTGTCTTGATCACGCGGCTAGTGTCACATCCATACCGGGCGGCTTGGCTTGGAGCAGCAGGGATATGCAGGGATCTCTCGTGAGGCTTGACTTCATTGCATGTGTCTTCGAGGTCGGCTGGCGACCTTGGAATGTGGCAATGGTAAAGCCGTCTCGCAGGCCTGCAGGGTCTCCATGCTTGTCCTGTTGTCCGTCCAAAGCTCCAGGATCGAAGACTCTGTCCTGGCTTCGGGTACAAGCGAAGACCGCGGATGCTTGTGGGAGTCATGTCTCAAGTTGCGCTGGGTTGACTGCAGTGAGAATGATGTTGACTTCTGTCGCATGCTGATGCTATTATAGTTGTGCTGTGTATGTAAATAAGTAACATGTCTATAATAGTTCGTAAGCACAAGACCTTCAAACACATGGGTGGCATGCCGAGGCGCCTCGAAGACCGCACGAGAGACGCGGAGTCGGGAAAAGCTGCTGCCGATCGCTCCAAAAGCAAACAGGACCTCTACCGGACCAGGAAAACGGAGGTGCGCGGCCGCTCAGACTCTGCCAGGAGCTTCTTTTCAAGTTCCACGGCTGTGTCCAAGGAACGTGCCGGAGCCTCAGCTCATTGTGGACATGGCAACATGTGGCTTGCCAAGAGGAGGTTCTACATGCCTTGCATGCAGGTGGTGTGTATCCGGAAAACTAAAGTCAAGCTCAGTCTCTCTGGCTCCAGGCGGTCAGTTTTGCTTGTCATGCTTGCCGCGCCCGGAAGTTCATCGTTTTATAATGCAGTATAGTATTTTGTGGTATGATATAATGTAGTATGGTAGAGTAATGCCGTTGCCGCAGGCGGAGTGTGCTTGCGGAGCCGGAGGCGCCGTGCTGCTCAGGCACATGGCAGACTCTTCGGTGTGCCAGCAGGTATCATGGAGCTATCCGCGTCTCAAAGGCCGCGATGGCAGCGCATCAGAGGTTTCGAGCTCAGCCTGCTAGGAAGGAGGAAGTGGTGCCAGCGCACTCGTCCAAGGTCGGGGAGAACGTTGAGGACGACCGTCCACTTCCTCCCGTCGCAGGCTTGCTCTTCCGGTTTACGGGTGCTGGCAGTTCGTTGAGTGTCCACCAGGCGTCGAAGCCGCTGGCCATTCTTTCGTGTCCGTGTCTTCGATGCCACATCACTCAGAAGCAGGTCCTGGTGGGACAACGGAATCACCTGGGATCGGGAGGGCTGTGTAATTTTTTGCACGGCTTTGTGGAGCAGCTGTTGAGGAGGTAGGTCCGTGGGTGTATCAGCAGTCTGTCGAAATCAGTGTTCCTTGGCCCTGTCTCTGAAGTGTTCAGGCCATTATGGAGGCCATGGTGGAGCTCCGGACGGTCTGGGCCTGCTGAGTCCCAGCGGCTCCTTCCAGCCGCCCGGGTCCGGCTCAGGACGCTTGGATTGATCTTGCTTCCGAGCCAACCCCTAGAACGTCCGCGTGGGTCCTTGTTCCCTAAATCCTTCTCGATCACGGCCCGTAAGGCACGAGAGGCGGCCCCTTGAAGGACGACAGCACTCGGCTGAGAGCCCTTCCTGCACTTGGCGTCGCGCTATCCGCCGCGAGAGACGTCCAAGTAGCACTGAGGCAGCGGCCTGGATGGGCTCGCCCCTCAAAGCTCTTCAAAGGGGATTTAAGAATTTAAGCATATTTAAGCCTGTGTAGCTTGTAGGGTAGTGTCCAAAATTGGACTTTGAGCTCGAGCTTTCTGAATCATGTCAGGAGAGGTGAACTGCAGGCCATAAGCTTTTCGCTGTCTAAGCTGATGCCATACCTTTCACGACAGGGCAGTGCAGCTAAGGCCGCCAGCAGCGCAATCGACAGCTCGAGCCTCCATGATCACGAAGGATCATGTGCGGGCCACCTGCCTGACACTTCCGCAGATGCCTTTCAAAGTGTTGCTCCTTCTTTATCTGACTCTCTGACTCTTGCTAGGCTGAAGTCTTCGGCAAGCTTCAAGAGCAAGGACAAGTGTTCTGCGACGAGCTGCCTCGCGGCTTGGAGCTCTGTGGCTTCGTCGGTATCAAGAAGGAATGGGTTCAGTCAGAGCGTGCTCCTTGCTCCGCACCTCAGGGATGCTGTCATGTCAATCACCGACAGGGCTAGGCTCCCCACAATTCAACGACAAGGACAAGGTGACCAAGTCCGCCACTATGGAGCTGGAAGAGTTCCTGGAGTTCGTGAAAGGCTACGAGGTCCTTCAAGAGAAGGCTCACAAGGACAGTGAGTCGGAGCTCTTGCCTGTATCGGAATGAGCAAGAGAAAGGTCAGTGCCCGGCAGGACGAGGCTTCTCACAAGTTACCAATTGACACAAGAAGACATCAACTCCAATCACCCCTGAACCGCAAAGACTCAACATCACGGCTTCTTTTCAGGATGCCTTCCTGGAGGCAGATCTCGATCAGTCCGGCACCGTGGAGTCTGCCGAGCTGGCAGAGGCGACTCGCTTTGCGTTTCAGGAGTTCTCGACTGGTTCCAGGACTCCGAAGAGTTACATGCTGCCAGTATCAGCTAGCTCGTGTCACAGTAAAAAGACAGTTGAAGAATTCGGATACCGCAAGAATAACAAACTATTTGCAAATTGTATTCAATGCAGAGAGAAGAGAAAAGAGTATAGTCGCAAATACAAAAAACCAGATGACAAGCCGTCAGAAATAGTTACTGTGTTTAACCA